GGGTGCGCCCCGCCCCGATCCCCGTCCACGCACCCCGCGGGGTCCGGGGGCATCCGTGCCGGGCCGGACCGAGCTCCGAGAGCACCGCCCCCCGCCCTCCGCCCCGGAGCCCGCCGGGCCCACGCGAGGCCTCCCCGCGCCCGCGGTCCGCCAGGGACTGGCCGCGTCCTAGCGAGCGCGTCTCCGGGGAGCGCTTCGCGCACAGGTCCCCTGGCACCGAGGGCTGGACGCCGCCTTCTCCGGAGCGCCGAGGGGTGACCCGGGCTGGCAGGGCTGAGGACGGACGTGGCCCGAGTCCCTGCGTGGCCCGAGTCACCTGCGGGCCCGAGTCACCTGCATGGCCCGTGACCTGTGTGGCCCGAGTACCTGCTGGGCCCGTGGAAAGGACCTAGCCCGCGGGAAGTGGGTGGACTCTCACTGAGCCCTACCCCCGGGACCTAGTGCATCAGACCCGTCTCGGTTCCTTCATCTGGAAGTGCGGCTGACACTGTGCTCCCAAGTTGCAGAAAGGCCGCGGGTTTTCCATGCAGGCCGAGCACATGGGCGTCCTGGAAGGCTGAGCCAGCAGCGGGGAGTCGGTCAGGTCGTCACCGGGAGAAGGGGCTGAGAACCTCCCAGATGGCACTGGGTGGCAGGGGAGGAGGGCTGCTTGCAGGCTCCGTTGCTGGGCCGAGACCTAGGCTGGTGGGAGGTGGTGCCTGGAGAGAAGCAGGCTTTTACCTTCTGGTTTCATGTGTCCACAGCGGCTTGCGCTGGGAAGCTGGGTGGCTTATGCACCCTGTAGAGCAGAGGGATGTTGTAAGACACCAGGGCTCCGCAGTAGCCCTGGGACAGGGAGGAGCTGCTGGGACTCCGGGCGAGATGCACAGGTGTGTCTGGCATGCACACCCGATGCTGGTGATAAGTGTTCTCTTCCTCCCGGGCACAGAGACTCCTGGTCATCTCCATCTCTGCTCTCAGATGAAGGGGTTTAAAGAGCCCTTCCCGCAGGTGTCTCAAGTGCCTCACCCCAAATCACCAGCATGCCAAAGCAGCCCATCTGGGGCCACGTTTCCCAAGCCCTTTGGTCGAACTCGAGTGAAACACCTTTCTGCCTCTGTTGAGAGCGAAGCCCTTTCCTTAGTGACCGTGAAAATCCGGGCCTGGTGCCGACCCGGAGTGGGAGACATCAGGGCGCGTGTGACTGGCCATCCAGCGCCTGCCACGCTCTGTGCTGACGTCCCTAGGAGAGGATGCAGTCTGGGTGGTGCGTTGTGTACCTGTACGTGGGGGCCTGCCGCCCTCTAAGGGAGCCTCTCTAACTCTGTCCGTCTCTCCGCTCGTCCCAGGGCCTCATTTTAGGAGTCTATTCCAAAGACAAAGACGATGACGTGCCACAGTTCACGAGTGCTGGGGACAAGTTTGACAAGTCGCTGTCCGGAAAGCTGAGAGAGATCCTGACCCTGTGAGTGTTGCCCGTGGGCCCACTTAGTGTGCACCCAGATTGTATGAGAGTGCTTCTCTGTGCCTGATGGTCAGCAGATGAGCTCGCACACCTCCTGGCCAGAAACTGCATGGCGGGGGTAGATGACCCGGGGGCTCCGGGAGGCACCGGCTCTGCTCAGCCCACCTTTCTGGCCCACCTCTTGTCCACTCTCCACGTGGGGGACAGCAGTGTCCCTAGGGTAGTTTGAAACAGCCACAGGGTCTGCGCACTTTATGGCCTGGCTCAGGGTTCAAGCTTCTGAATGAAAACACAAGTGCGTCCGTGATGCGATGGCATGCGGGTTCCGAGTCAGCAAATCCACGGGGCCTGAGGCCCAGCCCTCCTGCAGTGGCAAGGGTCCGGAGGAGGGGGACGAGCAGCAGGCCACACTGGGGGGAGTGGGTGTGGGATGCAGCCGCTGCTCCTGCATGTACCTGCATTTAGACGCCCAGTGAGGACCCGGCACACAGCTGACGAGCAGCCAGAGAGCGGGTCTGCAGCAGCAGTCTCGAGCACCGTGAGCCATGAAGGCTTTGCTGATCCAAAAGCTGACCTGTTCAAGGGCAGGACCCCCGGCCTGCTGCTCCGGCTGCTGGCTGTGCTCCAGGCACCTGGTGGGGACCGCATCTCCGTTTTACTTGGAAGTCTCCTGTAGCCTGTGTGTCCCTGAGCCCTGCACAGCCCCACTGCCGTCCCACTGCCATTTAGGGTGCCAGCGTTTTTGGTGTCTTGTGTCTTTATTGGGAAGGTTTAGAGTCGTCTGGCTCAGCTGTCACCCCACCACCCCACACCCAGCCCTGGTGCAGCCTCCCCCCCCCCCAGACACC